CCCCCCCCCCTCCCGGTGTCCATCGCATGCGGGAGCAGCCAAGCGGGTCATTTTGCCCACCTTCCCGCGGAGCCAATCCCTGGGCGCTGAGCCGGCACCGGTGGCCGGCACCCCTCGCGTGTTGGCGGCAGCCGATGCCGCGCATGCGCCGGCCGAGGACATGCCCCCCCGGCAGTCGCCCTTCCGTGCCCCGGCCACCGGCTCGAGCAGCGCTTTCCGCTCGTCGCTTGATCTGTCGGACGCGCCGGTCGTGGACAGGCCTGCCGATGGGTCGCCGTCGGTCCCTCCTCCGAAGCAGCCGGCTGCCCCTGTCACTCTCGCGGGTGCCCCGGCGCACCAGGACCTGGTCAGCCAGCTCCAAAGTGCCGAGGCTCGCTACTCGGCCCTGCTGGTGTCCTCCGAAGAAACCATCGCCCGGCTGCAGGAGCGCGATCGCCGATCTACCGAGGAGATCCGCCGCTTGGAGGTGCAGATGGCCAACCAGGCCTCGGCCGAGGCCCGGCGGCTCGGTGAGGAGATCGCCAAGAAGAATAAGGCCCTCAAGGAGTGCGTTCGCAAGTGTTCTTCCCCCCCCCACCCCGGTGCCTCGGGCGCCGGGCCACTTCCAGTGCTGACGTTTGTGGTGCGCCTTTTCCATGGCCACAGCCAGGCCGACTCGATCGATCTCCTGGAGCAGGCCAATCGCACGGCCGCCAGCCAGCTGGCCCTGCTCCAGGCCGAGCATGAGCAGGTCCAGCGCAAGCTGGAGGACACCAGCCAGGCCTTGTCATCGGCCCTGCTGCGCGTGGAGCTGGACCCGTACCAGCTGTGCATCTCGTCCTACGGCAGCAGCCAGGGGCTCTCGCAAACGGATCTTGCCTGGGCCGAGCGGCACCAGCTCCATCCGCCGGCGTCGGAAACGGCCGCCGGCTCCTGTCGGGCATCGTCCTCCCTCCTGCCCGGCGGGGGGCCCGGATCGTGCGCTTCGGTGATCGGCGCCCTGGAGCACGAGCTCCGGGCTCGCGATATGTCCCTTTCGGAGCAGTCTCTGCGTCTGTCGGAGGCGCATCTGGCTCTGGGCTGGGCATCTCCGCCCGCCGGCGGGCCGGGGGAGGAGATGCTGGAGCTGGCGCTCGAGCAGGTGTCCCAGCTGGAGGCACGCGTTGATGCGTCCGAGCGACAGGTGGCCACCCAGTACCAGGCTCTGGTGGAGCTGATGGCCATGCATGGCCAAGTTCGCCGGGTGCTGGAGAGGGAGGCCTTCGCCGGTGATTCGGGCCCCGGGCCATGGCATGAGCTGCTGTCCGTGGCCACGCTGCTGGTCCGACGGTCGGACAAGCTTTTCGCCCTGCTGGCGGAGGTGGAGGCCGCGCGCGGCTGCCCAGCCCAGCGGGACTCGGCGATGGCCGACGGCGAGCCACCCGTCGAGTCTCCTCCGGGGCAGGAGGAGGCCCGCACTTCGAGCCGAGCCGATGTCCTGGCCTTGGAGAATCGCTCTCTGCGGAACCAGCTTTCTGACCATCATCTCGGATTGGGGATCCTGGAGGGGCAATTGCTCGAGGCCGAGCGGCGGAAGGACGAGCTTGCCAGCGAGCTGAGGCGCTCGGAGGGCCTTCGTGTCGAGTTTGCCGGCAAGCTGGAGGATGTGCAGCAGCAGCATGCCGCCCTGACGGAGGAGCTTCACCGGGTCAAGGAGCAGCATTCACAGGCGCAGCAGCATCAGCAGGAGCAGCATGCCCAGATGGCGAAGCAGCTCGAGCAATCGGAGCTGCAGTGCTCGGGACTGATGTCGCGGCTTGACACGTCGGCGCAAGGCGAAGCGGATTTGGCCGGGCGGGTCGGCCAGCTTGAGGCCGAATGTGCCGCTTTGCAGCGGCAGCGCCAGAGCCTGGACCAAGATCTTCAGCATGCCGAGGGGAGGTACCAGGCTCTCGCGCGGGAGCATGATGATCTTGTCGCGCGGCATGGCGCCCTCGCCGATCAGTATGCGGCCCTGGTCAGCCAACATGACGAGCTCACCCAGACACATACGGAGCTCACCCAGACACACGAGGAGCTCACCCAGACACACGAGGAGCTCAGCAAGGCACACGCGGAGCTCAGCAAGGCACACGAGGAGCTCAGCAAGACACACGAGGAGCTCAGCAAGACACACGCGGAGCTCACTGAGCGCCATGCCAACCTGTTCCAACAGCATGCGGCGCAGGCCGAGCAGCACACCAGCCTCGCCAGCCAGCATGAGAGCCTCTCCAGCCAGCACGGGAGCCTTGTCAGCCAGCATGCGAGCCTCTCCGATCAGCATGCGGCGCTCCTTGAGCAGCACCAGGCCCTGGTCCAGGAACACCAGCAGGCCGATGCGCTAATTGGCCAGCTCAAGCAGCAGCAGCAGCACCTGCTCGACTCGCTTCCCGAGGTGATGACCTTCCTGGCGCACATGGAAACCACCGTGGCCGACCTTCGGGGGCACTTGCCAGCTGCGGCGGCGGCGGCGGCGGC